TAATGAAAAAAGAAATACCAACCATCAAGTTATAATAACGAGAGGAGCTGCAACGTCGACGATTAAMACCTTTTCTATAGAGAATATAGGAGAAGCTTTCTATAAGAATTTAGAGACCGTAGTACGTCACCCTAATTTTAAATTAAGAAGACTGCAATCAAAACTGTCTTCTGTTGCTGACACGTGCTCGATAAAATCATCGAATAACGACAGTTTGGGTAGTGCTGAACCGCGTATATGTACTTCCAGGTCAAAAATATATTCTTCCAATGTGACGTTATTTACAAATAGTGTGCCTTTAGCATCAAGGGCAAATACTACTGTATCATCACATTATGTATCAAATAAGTCGTTATTGTCACCTTCAAAATTAGAAAGTTCCAGCCAGAAAATGTTGGTTATCAAAATTATAGAAATTATAAAGAAAATATTGCTCATAAAAATTTTGACCAGAATAACATCGACAGAAGGAACTTATGTATTGAATTCATCGAAAGCGCCATTAAATTTCCTGATAATGAAAATACGCAAAGTATTATTTGCTTTTGCGATTTTTACTTTTGTATTTCACTTTGATGTTGTTTTAGCCGATCAAGGTAATTGTTGTTTTTTTTATTAAGTTTAGTCATAATCTATATTTTGCTATTTTTTGATACACTTCAAGTTATTCTTCTGGATACGACAAGAGAAGCAACTTTGGAGTGGACTCGGTATCCATATGGACCGCAAGCTCAAACACCGGGGGTACATTTGATTTATTGTGTTCATTTGGTGTTCATTTCTATATGTTTTATAATTGCAGTGGGTTGAGGAATCATTTACAGATTTTGTAAAGGGTATAAATTGGCGAAGCTATGTCGTTTGCGATGTTGCATATAACAATGTCAATAATTGGTTATGGTCTCCTTTTATCGACCGAGGACCTGCAAACAGACTATACATTGAAATTAAGTTTACTATACGTGATTGTTCCCTATTTCCAGGTAAAGTATAATAATATTTAATATTGGAAAATGAGTTTATTCGTGTTTTAGGAAATGCACTCTCTTGTAAAGAAACGTTTAGCCTTTTATTCTATGAATTTGATGCTGCTACACGGGAACCTCCGCCCTGGCAAACCGATAGTTATAAGTTGATCGGTAGGTAAAAATACATTCTTATTTATCGAAAATTATATGTTTCCAACATGTTTTTAATTTAATAGCACGTATAGCTGCAGGAGAAGGCCGTTTCAATCAAAATTCTGATGTTGATATAAACACTGAAGTCAAAAGTATTGCCGTAACAAAGAAAGGTGTTTATTTTGCATTCCGTGATCAAGGAGCCTGCATAAGTGTGTTAGCAGTAAAGGTTTACTATATCACTTGTCCTGCAGTAACGGAAAATTTTGCTCATTTCAATGAAACACCAACGGGAAGAGAAATTACTATAATTGAAAAACAAAATGGCACCTGTATTGATAATGCGGAACCATATGAGACACCTACATACTTGTGTAAAGGTGATGGCAAATGGACAATTCTAACTGGAGGCTGCCAATGCAAGGTTGGATATGAGCCAGATTTCATAAATAAAACCTGCAATGGTAATAATTTGCACTTTTCCAAATTTTATGAAAACAAAATATTTAATAATTTTTTTTAAGAATGTCCGATAGGGAAATTTCGTTCAAAAGAGGTTAATAAATGTGTACCATGCCCACCTAATTCAAATGCGCTAAATCTAGCAGCAGGATTTTGTAAATGCCTTCCTGGTTATTATCGACATCCACACGATGGAAAGCATATGCCTTGCTATAAGCCGCCCGGACCTCCCACGAATTTGACTTTGTTATTTGTGGACCAAACAAGTGCGATTCTTTCTTGGAATGTGCCCGTGAGGGAGTTATCAGACTCATCATTTTCTTTGAAAAAAACTAAATATCGCAGTGAAATTGTGTATAAAGTGCGATGTCTATCCTGCTCCTCCAACGTTGTGTACAATCCAGCATCAGATTCATTTAATGAAACCAAATTAACCTTAACTAATTTGGAACCAGTAACAACGTACACAATTCAAATACATTCTCTGAACGGTCTTTCAAGCCCGATGGATGGGGACAATAATTACAACGATACTTCGGAAGATAATAAAAATACCGCCCAATTTGGATCTTTCAATGCTACACCTGTAAATCCCTTAATGTCTACTAATGTAAAATCGCCGGTTAGTTTAGTTAACAATCAGGCTTTCGATCTAAATCAAATAAAAACTGAATATGCCGAAATTACATTCAAGACAGAATCTGCAATCCTGTCCACTGTATTTAATGTTCGAGTTGTTGCAACCACAAGTAGGGAAGTAGATTTGGTATGGGACAAATCTGTGCAAAGTGATTATCCTATTGAATTTTATGAGGTGCGTTGGTTTCCCAAACCGGAGCTGGATTCCGTTAACAAAACTGCATTCAATACAAAGGAAACTAGGGCTCACATCGAAGGACTCACTGAAAATACGGAATATGGATTTCAAGTTCGTTGCAAAACTTTGAATGGATATGGCACTTATAGTAACATAGTTTATGCGCAAACACACCAGAGCATGAATTCAGGTAAACAAAAAAACATATTTTGAGTTAGAATATTATGGTATACATTGACGTAAAATATTATAATACATTTATATTACATAATATCTTCAACTTGTAATTGATTAAATACATATTTGCTCAGTCTCTGCTTTCAAGTTTTTTTTCCACTGGCACTTCATTGTATCATCTTAAACGTACTTAAAACATAGATTTAGCTATTTTTCTATCATTGTTTACACTTGATATCTTATTGTATTTAAGTCCCTTAATTTTATCAATAAGCAGAGTTTTATCGTAGTACGTATATATGTAATAGTGGCACAATATTCACAAAATTTGTTTCTGTCTTAAGTTATAACCTAATTTTACAATTCTAGGGTACGATGACTCTATACATATGCGAATTGTTGCTGGTGCTACTGTTGCTCTTGTTTTTATATTAGTACTAGTGATTGTTGCAACAGTTTTGTTCTTGCGATCGAAAAATCAAGATGATCTTGACAAAAAGTCCAGCAATCACTTGCCATTGCCTCTGGATTACGCCAGCAATGAAGGTAATGTTCATCATATACTTGTTTTTTTTTTCATTGATTTTGCTAAATCAATATCAATTCATAACTAAAAATGTTTGAATTTGACAAGTTTGATATGTTCTCAAATAAAATATATAATATTGTTTCTGTTACGTATATCAATAATTAAAGTTTATGCTGCATCTGCATAAATTTGTAATATGAGATATACTCGTATATATGACAAGTCTTTATTATGTAATATTTTTTATTATTAACCTTACTGTGTTGTGAGGCCAGCGCCAGTATTCGATTATTTCAATGTTTTTTGTTTCAATTTAAGTATTCTTCCACAAAGTTGCGAATGCCGTAAAGTACAGATAAACGTTATTTCCAAAAAATATAGTTAGATACCTTGATTGTTACATCAGCAATCGAGCGAGTCGATGTGTTCCCACGACAGTTAGGTCTACATAATCGGAACGTACCTGAAGTTTTTATGCGTCCATGAACTGTCAATTGAACACTATTCTGCCGCTACGACAAGAGCAGGTCGATTTGACGGGGGCCAAAAAACTGAAAAGTGGCATATGCGGGAAGTGTTACGGATCATTATGATCAACTTTGCCGGCGAGAATATGGTGTTAAACCCGGTTAAGAGCCAGCGATTTTAAGGAGAAGTTTTCTTGAGAGGGTGTAAGTTATCGATACTGAAAGAGTTAATGTATATCTTTTATTTTGAAATCCACTTGAGAAATAACTAACAACATTTTAATATAACGTATTTCATTGAATCATCGGAAGCCATAACCTTATGTCAGTCTGAAACCTTAATTCGAACAAAAAACCATCCTACTATAATGTACCGTTGCCTTAGTGTCACAGTCAAGTCGTCGGGAGGATGTTTGAGCAATGCTCGTACGTTTGTAAGTGAGGACAATAGCTCAATAGCGTTCTCAACTGTCTTCCCACCGCAATTATCACTTAAAAATCATTTAGATGTTTGAAACGTTTCAAAAATGCTTTGAAAAAGTCATTTGCTGTAAGATTTGACTAAAACAGAAATCTACCTCGTCATATGGTCTTTTTAGATATAGTGTCGGATAAAACATATTGGACTCATACCTATGAATTACATTATCATCTCCTATATTTGACAATTATCATTTTAAATATAAACAAATCACTCTGATTTGAAGAATATTTGCTTATTTTATGCAAACATACCAAACCTTAGAAATTATTTGACTCCATGCCATTTTAGACAAAAGAAATTAAAAATATTCAATATTCAGTGAGACAAAACATATTGGAATAATGATTGTTTATGTTAGATCTTTTTTAAATATTTTTAGCATAACTATTTTATTTAATTACTTCACTGCATCTATTTGACATAGAAGATATAAGATTGTTAATAACTTCTTGTGGAAAGCTTAACCAGGCTTATTTTGCAGCTTTAAACAATTTGTTGTTTTCTCCACTCACTCCTTCTTTGTCTATCCTTCTGTTTATTATCTGTCAAAGATTCTCAATAGGATTGAGATCTGACAATTGAGCTGGTAATCTTAGTATTTAATATTTTGAGCTACGAGCCAATTTGACACTAGTTTAGACTTATACTTTGGGTCGTTGTTGTGTTGGAACGTCCATGAAAGTGGGACATTAACATCGGCATTAGGAAGCATCACGTTTTAATAATAATACCCAACGATTACCCTCCTCCCGCTCAACCGACGCGTGGGGCGCAATTCCCGAACGAGCAGACTTAGCCGAGTCATAAAACACAAGGTAGTTTTAAGCAGCAGTAGATCCTAAGCTGCTCAGCTACAGAAACAAAAATTTCAACAGCCAAAATTAAGAATTAGATTAAAGTTTATAATTTTTAAATGTTACTTGTTAAGTGTAGAAGAGGAGGAAAGGGGGAAGATTTAAACTGGAATCCCAATGCAAATGATTTAAGGCAAAAATAAAAATTGTTTTTGAATGGGTTCTATACCACAGAAGCATACTCTAATATAGGCCTCACCAGAGATGTAAAACGAATTTTTGTGGTAAGCAGATCTCTAAATTCTTTAGACCAACGTTTAACAAAACTAAGAGCACCTTTAGCTTAAAAAACCACGGATGATGCGTGCAGATTAAAATTGAGTTTGAGGTCCATAGTTACTCCCAGATCAACAAACTGCATACTTGCTCCAACCTAAAGTTGTTTCTATTGCGTATGACATAGGGTCTACAGCTCTACGTGAAAAGACAATCGTTTTACATTTTTTAAGATTCAATGTCATGTCATTTCTATCACACCAAGAAACTATGTTGTTTAAGTTTGTTTGCAACTGACATCTTTCGCTTTTTGAAGTATACATTTTAAAAGGTTTTACATCATCAGCATATAATACAACTTTTCAAAACTTAACAACAGATGATATGTCATTAATAAATAAGAACAGAATTGGATCAAGATGGCTACCGTGAGGAACGCCTGAAAGAACATTGAATATGTCAGAAAGAGTATCGTTAAATATGACTTGCTGAATTCTATTACTAAGATAAGAAGCAACCCACCTTAGAAATATTGAAAACCAAGATGATCAAGTTTATTCAAAAGAATTGATTGGTTTACTTTATCAGAAGCTTTACTAAAATCTGTGTATATAACATCAGTATTCTTATTCTCCATAAAACCCGTTGGTACATGTGATACAAATATTCAAGCAATCTAGTTATTGTAGATTTCCCTTTACGAAAACTGTGCTGAGAACAAGAAAGTTATGTCGTCTGTTATAATTGCTTCAAAAAGTTTAGGTATGGCAGACAACTTTGCTTACCCCTATAGTTTTCAATAGATTACCTAAATCCACTCTTATGTAAAGGAATGATAAATGGCTTTTTCCATGTGGATGGAGAGAAGCCTTGAATAAGAGATGAATTAAATAGTTTTGTTAGGGGTTGGTATATATATTTGGCACATTTGTTAAAAAATCATGAAAGAATTATATCTGGGCCATTACTAAATGATTGTTCTAACATATTTAACTGATATAAGACGTCTGCTTCGGAAATGGTGGGAGCATTAATTGCATAAATCGAACATAAATTTTGCTGATACGGAACATTTTTTGGAGAGTAATTGGGCCTAAAGAATTCAGCGAACATATTAGAAATGGTGTGATTGTCACTAGACATACTAGACTTATATTTTATAGTGGACGGAAAATTAGAAATCCTGTGTTTGGAGTTGACGAAACCATAGAACAATTTTGGATTACGTATAATATTATTTTTTATTTTATTTATATAATTATTTTAACATATTTTGTTAAGTTCAGCAAATTGTCGGCGCAATTTAGAATATTTTGAATAGTCAGTAACTAAACCAGTTTTTTTTTTAAGTTTAAAAGCACGAAATTTTCTATTTTTTAATTTACATAATTCTTTCGAAAACCATAAATTAGAACTCATTTTTTGAGTAACAACACAATTCGGAACATATTTTTCAAATAAGTTTAAAATATTTTCATTAAAGTGTAATCCGGCCTAGTTCGTAATTAATGTTCTTAAAATTAGCTTTCACAAAGTTGAACCGAAAACAATGGTGTTGTGTATTATTGTGACCAAATTTGGCCATTGTTTCGATGTTAATTTCCAAGGCAGGATGATACGAGTCCTCTGGCTGAACCAAAGGGTCACATCGGACAACAGAGAACATTGAAGCGTTATCAACATAGACTAGATCTAAGAACTTACCAAACTCGTTCGAAATTAAATTAATTTGATTAAGACCCAACTCCGGCATTTTATCTAAGAACTCGTTAAAACATTAGCGAGTACCAATAGGAATGGTGTAATCATCAATAGATTTCCATGATACGCACAGAAATTGAAATCTCCCAAAACAATCATGGAATCAGTATTATTAGTCATTGAGAGAACATTATTTATTAATGAAGCATGCTGCATGTATGCAGATATGTCCGAGTGAGATGGTATATATGATAAAGTTAGGTAGATATGGTCACTATTAGCGCAAATACGCATGCACTTAACTTCTATGAAGTCTGCATGCGGAACATCGACATCTTTTGGAATTGAAGAATAAACAGCAAACAAGTCACAACCTCCATTTCTGTTCAGCCGGTCATATCTAAATATTTAGAATTCGCTGTTGAATATTTCATTATCAAAAATTTGAGGCTTTTCTGAGAAAGCAATGACTTTAAAGTTACAATGATTGCTATTTAAATAAAAATACGTAAATTTTGTATTAAGACCTCTAACATATTGATAATAAACAATCAGCGAATAATTGTTAGTTAGTTTTTTGTACCCATTTCGTGGCATCTTAGTGATAACTACAGGGGGCTTATCACATTTGTGCTCGAATTCGCGCACAAAGACCCCAGATGGCCAGAAGAAGTTATCAAGTATCAAATGACAAGTCGATCTTAAACGACGAAATATCCCTGTTTATTTGAAATTAAATTTAAGGATGTCTGTATCTCCCGTTTTCAATTTCGACGAGATATAACTTTTTATATCATCGACTGTGGTATCCGCAGCAAGTCTCGAGATAAAAATTACCTTTTTCCGCGGTATTACAACTAAGATTTTATTAGCTAAGTTTTTATTAGCTTAGAGGTATTTGGAGGCGGATCTTGAGAAGTTTTCCGCTTACCGTGTTCAGTAACAGTTTTCTCTGTGTCCTGAGCAGACGGAATCTTCTCTAGTTGATGACAAGGGGATGAGAGATTGATGAGGTCAATAGTGGGTGGGGCATTCTTTTTAAGGATGGTATCTTCATCAGACGGACGTTTACATTTCTTGGAAGTTTTGGATTCTCTTCCTGAATATTTAGGCATTGAAATTCACGACCACACTCCTTGAAACCAGCACCTGCTTAAAAACTTCAAACAATTCAATTTCAGTTGGTCTGCATTTTAAGCAATCCCTTACTGTCAAGAATATAATCCAATATCCTACCTGTCAGTCCAGCACATTTAAGATGGGAGAGCCCGTCACAAAGCCAGCGAGAAACAAAG